ATACCCTATATATATATATATATATATATATATATATATATATATATATATATATATATATATATATATATATATATATATATATATATATATATATATATATATATATATATATATATATATATATATATATATATATATATATAATTAATTCTTGTTGTCCGTAATTGAACGAAGAGTGCTCAATACCAATATACGATAGACCTTAAATAATTCTTTAATCTGAAAATATATTTGTCGCTACACTGAAGCGATCTTCAGGCGATTGAAGTTGATTGAATATATATATATATATTGGTATTGAGCACTCTTCGTTCAATTACGGACATATATATATATATATATATATATATATATATATATATATATATATATATATATATATATATATATATATATATATATATATATATATATATATATATATATATATATATTAATGAGGTTCAAAATAACTCAACCGGAGTTACTCTCTGAAATTAACACCATTCCCCATATTTTTCTTCAATTTAATTATATATGCAGTACTGTAAGTTATATACAAGATTGTCAAGTTATCTACCTGCCAAATTGAAGCTGTTCAATAAATAAACCGGCCAGCGTACCTTAGTTGTAATATTCCGACACACGTGGCTGCCATAAAAATGAAATACTTTCTTCTCAGGGATGATTGCTTGTGGTACATCAGTAACATCACACTGGTCGATTTCAATCGAGTCTAACTCGATGTCAAAACTCACACAACCTCTAAAACAGAAAATAGTAATTGTTGTTATTACCTCCAAGTCTCCAACTGGAGGTTATGTTTTCATGTGTGTTTATCTGTCTATGTATCAATTACAGTGTATCACCGTACGGTTACACCATTTGAACACTCATTTTTATCAGAACGATTAGCATTTATATAGCCAGGGACGCCGGAACGATGTGAAGGCAAGGGGGCAGATTTTCGTGAAAGGGCACTTTTGAATTGATATATACTAAGAGATGTTTGCAAAACATAGGGAGTTGAACTTCGCCTAATCATGTTTTCTATTTATTGGATGGCAATTGCTAGATAGTATACTTCAAAATAAGATTTCCGTTTTTATATCAATTTTTGAAATAATTAAAATAAGTTAGGGTTAGGTTAGGGTTAGGTTAGGGTTAGGGTGAGGGTTAGTATTAGGGTTATTAAAATGGAAACCTTATTTTGAAGTATACTATCTAGCGATCACCACCCTGGCTTTCAAATAGCGTATAATATAAAGTATATGTCGAAATAGAGCGGTTAACCCTTCAAAATAACGTTCTATGCAATGTGCATTGGATACACAAAATATGTCGCCTCCATTTCCAATCACGTGAAAATAGGCAGTGTCGCGTGTCTGTCGGCTGCCCCTACTCGAAAATCGGGGTAGTCAGAACAGTTAAGAACAGTCATGTGACTCACTTCTGTTCCATTCCTTTAGTGTTCCGAAAATCCGGAGTACTCCGAACAGTAAATGGAGCAGCTTGCAGGAGTGTGTTTGGGAGGGAAGCGGAAGTAGAGGGCCCGGCTTGCGACATTACTTTACATCAAGTATTACTTTACATCAAGTATTACTTTACATCAAGTATTACTCTTACCTAATTACATACTTAGCCTAGAATATTTTATCTTTACAGCAATTGTGATATTACTTTCTCAACTGTGTTTATCCTAACCCACCCTGTCAACTCTCCCTGTGGGAGGAAACCGGAGCGCCCGGAGAAAACACACGACTTTCGGCAGAGCGTTGACTGACTCTTTTCACTTGAGTCAATATAGAGGATCGAACCCACGATGAGCGATGCTCTTGGAGAAAATGTCTGTAACAAAATATGTTTAAATAAAAAAAAAATCAGAGGTGAAAGGCGCTTCCTCTGTCGACTACGCCACCAAGGCCCCATTTCAACATGTAAGTGTACTTCGACCTAATTTTTATTTAGTGTAGATTTTAGAAATGTAGACTTTAGAGTCTTGAATTAATTTTCTCACCAAATATGTGAGAACCCTGACCTGGAAAATAATGTGTTCGTTTACGCTGGATTTCACTGCAATCATTGAATACTTGAAAAATGGCGGTCGGTTCAATCAAGGATTTTCGCGCGCTTTTTGTTTTGCTTACTGTGATATATTTATAACAAAATAAGGCTCGGTTTGTAAGTTTAAAAATGTTTTTAATTATGCTGGGGTCACATGATATTGTTTTTGGACGTTTAGCGTTTTCTCAAATTTCGACAAAAAAAATCAAAATTTTGCCAACTGTATCTCGATGTAATTTAGCAGTTCGCCTCATTAGTATTCATTATATGTCAGCATGTACAATCTACGCATGCCCAGATGTCAATTTCCGAATGATCGAATCTCTTCAGAGTTGTGGGAGCAAAAGGCCCATTTCCACTCAAAATTTTTTTCCGACGGAAAATTTGTGCCGGCCAATCATATTCGTTTACAAAATTTTCTTCCTGCAGAAAATTTTCCTGAGTGGAAATGGGCCTTGGCCTCTTTTTATTTATTTATTTATTTATTTATTTATATAACTTCGCATTTATATATACCATACAATACAATACAATACAAAAA